AATTCATGTTTGTACAATCTTCTGGATTTTTTTTTCCCAAGAAGGAGTAAAAGGGAGTGTTGGAAACTAACAAACAGGATTAAAGCCCTGAGCGCTTAAGGAAAAAAACAGGTTAAGGAACTTAATCCAGGATGGATCTGCAGGAGCCCCAGCAGCTGGGAATGTTTGCGGAGAGCGAGCTGATGTCGGTGGGGATGGACACGTTCATCCACCGCATCGACTCCACCGAGGTCATTTACCAGCCCCGGCGCAAACGGGCCAAGCTCATCGGCAAGTACCTCATGGGAGACCTGCTGGGAGAGGGCTCCTACGGCAAAGTCAAGGAGATGCTGGACTCTGAGACCCTGTGCAGGAGAGCTGTGAAGATCCTGAAGAAGAAGAAGCTGCGCCGGATCCCCAACGGGGAGGCYAACGTGAAAAAGTGAGTAAAGAGTTGTGGGAGCTGAGAGGCTGAACTTGGTGCTTGTTTTGCAGCTGAGCTGACAGCGTGGCTCTGCTGTGGAAGYGCTTCCTAATCCGCAGGTATTTAGGAATCCCTTCCCTCTGAACAGCAGCCAGCACTCTGGGTGAGGCTGGGCACGGGGAAGGGACAGGTTCCTGAAGGCCAGGACGGTGTGGAACACACTGTTTTGGGGTTGTTTAACGGATAAAATAGTGTTTCCTACAGCAGTCCCTCTGGAAGGTCTCACCTTGCCCAGGTGCTGCTGGCTGGGRAAGGTGATGGGACACAAACACACCTGGGAAAGGTGAGGGGACACAAACACACCTGGTGTCGTCACAAGGTTGTTCGTGTACCTGCTCAGGTGTGTTCCAAAGGCCCTGGAGCTCTCTGGGGTGGCAATTCCTGCTCCCAGCCATGTGGAAGGTGCCTGGAACAGGTTCCAATATATGGGGCACCCCATGGGCACAGCAAGTTTTGGGTTTTTAGCTTTGCTGCATTTCTAATGTGCTTGGGAGCTAACTCAAAGCTGTCCCCAGCTGATTTCTGTGGCTGTAAAATGGGGCCAAGGGTTGTCAGTCCTCTGTGCCTCCAGCACACCTGGTTACTCAGGGCACAGAGCCCTGATGGAAGTGAACCCCAGGAGAAGCCGGATGCAGGGCTTGATCCGTGGGGTTGCTGTGGGAACTCTCCCTTCCCAGGACCTCGCAGCAGCTGYGTCCCAGCCCTGCCAGGAGCTGCTTATCAGCCCTGCAGGAGCCTCTGCAGCCCAAACAACCCAGGAGGGTTTATCTGTGCTGGGAGGGAGAACTTTGAGAGGTTGAGGAAACTCTTGTGTTCAGCTGTGAGTGAGCCCTGAGCTGCAGAGTCCTGTGTCTGTCCCTCGGTTTGATTTCCCAGTTCAGCTGTGGGATATTTCACATCCTGTCCCAGCACTGCTGTCAGGGAGCTTTCTCACTTTGCCTTCCGACCTTTCTTGACAGCCTTGGCTGTGGAACAGTCACATCCCAAGGCTGGGACCTCCCTGTCTCTCCCTTCCTGGCTCAGGTTCAAGATCTAGCAAACTTGGTTAATGTGTAATAAAATGTTTCTTGTTTTTCTGGTAGAGGCTGAGTGCCCCGTCCCTGAGTCCCTGCACTGGCACATCAGCGMTGCCACTCAGGAACGTGGAGGTAGTTTCCTCCTTAGGGAAACTTTTAATGTAAATTAGATAAAAAGAGCTTGCCCACATCAGGAGAGTTCCCTGTTCTAAGAGCCATGGGAATGCTCTTGTGTCCTGAGGTGAACTCTGTGCAAGTTTTATTCATGCCCARAGTGGGGCTGTGAGTATCAGATGGGTCATTAAGGGAGTTATTAGATGGGTTTTCTGTGGACATTTCCTGGTTCAGCCTCACCTGCTCCAAACACCGAGGCAGACTTTAGGTCTTGTCTTGTATCCAGGGTTTGCTTTAGTTCAAATTCCTATTTCTGTCCCCTTGTCCTTTTCTCTCTGCCCACCTATCCATGCTCTCTATCTGCTGCTTCAGTGAGGAATTTTAAGGCAAACTGTTGTATTTTGTGGTCCCCTGGGCCTGTGGCACTCTGAGCTTATCAGAACTGCTGCAACAGGGAGTGMAAGCTGTGTCTGCTCTGAGTGTGGAGATGTGAGCAAACCCAGATGTTTGAGTGGTCAATGGGAGGAACAAAATGGTTTGGGGTCTCCAAGTGGTGCTGGACAGGACACTGACATCAGTGTTTTAATGCCAACTTGGTCACACTTTTCTGGAGTTTCACTTTGGCTGTGTTGGAGCAGCTTTGAGGAGTTTATGCTCAGAAACTGCTCCTGGGTCACAGAAAAGCAGGAAAACAGGTTGTGGGTTGAATTCCACTGTCAGGTTCTACTTTCCTTCTTGGAATCTGGTCAGTGAAGTGGTTTCCAGTGTTTCCTAGCTCACAGAGGAAAAGCTGCACGTGAAGCTTGGGGTTTTGGGCAGAGGTGATTGTGTTACTGTGGTGGGTTTGTGCCTCTGCCCCCTCACAGGGCACCTCAGTGCTGCTTCTGCTGTGCTGATAGTGTGCCATCCAGGGAATTCCCTGGAAAACAGTTCCTAAACTGTGGCCCTCGGGTAATTCCGTGAGCAGTAACACACAGTGAGTAACGAGAATGCTGTAATGAGCTGTGGAGGATCATACAGGTCTGAGCTGGGCCTTTGGCACCTGGACTTGTTGGGCTGGAAATAGGATGTTAATGCCATCCTTGGGTCACTCCTTGCTGATATCTCAGGTCACAGCCTCATACCTGCCCCAGCCCTGGCTCCTGGTGTTCTGGAGACCCAGAAACTATGATTAAAATGTGTTTGAGACTTACATCAAATTGAGTGATTTTTCTTYACCCCAAATACTCCACTTCTGCCCTGGGAAAATGAGCCCTGAAGGGATCATTAAGTCCTGGGGAAGATGTYGAGGGCTTAAACTTGTAAGACACAGTTTCCTTAAATTCATTAGAAGAATCTTCATTTTTCTTTAGAGCAGGTGGAGGTGGCTCACTCAGGCAGACACTGCTGAAGCTCATCCCTGCAAAAAAAGGAGTTTAGTGGGATTGCCAAAAAGAGGCAGAGAAACCTGGCAGCCTGTGGCTGCAGCAGCAGAAGTTTAATAACGCCGTGTGCTAATAGCCTCACACGTTAATTAAGTGTTTGGGGCTCCGTGGGATCCCAAGTGCCCTGTGCTGTACTTACCACCTCGGCGATTGCTCAGGTTGGAATTTGTGCTCCTTGSAATTCCTCGGAGAGTTAACCTGGGTTGTGGGGCTGTGCTGTGACTGTTTTTGGGGTCTGCATGTCCCAAGCTGGAACCTCCAAACAGGGACAGTGGGGAAGCTCCAAAAGGGGGCTGGGGAAGGACCTGCTGAAAGCCCCAGAGGTGGAAATGGGCTGATCCCTCCTCCCTGGGCACATATTCCTACAGAGCTCAAGGACTTCCTCTGCTGAGCTGCTTGGGTTGAGAGGTGAAGTTTGGGGAGCTGTAACCCATGGAAGATCACAAATTGTGATGGATACAGAGCTTGGAATGCCAGACATCCCTGCAGGAGCAGGATGTGGATGGAGCTCTGGGAGTAGGAAAGAGGAAAAGCGACATCAAGATCTTCCTGGCCCTTATGGCCCTTGGGCTCACACAGTGCTGGAACAGATGCTGCACTTCCTAAGCTTTCAGGATGTTATTGGAAAAACCTCGTGAAACAGAGGGAAGGGAATTAATCTTTTGGCTGTGTTGCTGGTTTTTGTTTAGGCAGAAATGGCTGGGAACAAGCTGTAGGAAGAATCCTGGATCTCACAGTGGAGATGTCCAGGAAGGAAGGTCTGCTTTCCAGGCTGCCTTTGGCATCTTCCAAAATGATGTGGCACATGAAACAAGGAAGCAGCTTTGCTATTTACAGTTCTGAGCAACAACACCCCCTGTTATTTACCAGAGCAGGTACCTTGCAGGGGATAAGTCTTAATCCGTCAGGATGAGCTTAATGGATCTGACAGTGCTCGAGTTAGAAGATCTTTCTTCTCCTTGTCTTCCTCCAAGAGGGTTGTACTTGGAAGCAGGCCCTGCCCTCTGGCAGTCTGTCTGGTCACACAGTGGGCTCAGGTGGGGTTTGGGTGTTTATTTTGAAAGGAAAAAAATCAAATTTAGGCCCATTCTGAGGAGGTGAGGACTTGTGTTCCCCTACTCGAGGGGTTTGCAAAGCAAAACGGGATCGGAGGTGACTGGGCTGGCTGTCCCTGCTCCTCAGGCATTCCAGAGTGAAAGAGGGGCTAAAAATAGAAGTAATCTTTCCTCTGGGAAAAGGGCTGCTTGGCCTCTGCCCCAGGAGTGGGGGTATTGCCCTGGCATTTCAGGTTGGCTCATGCAGTCCTCCTGAGGGAGGGGATATCATTACAGAAATATGAGATATTTATTAGTCYGTTGAAGGTGGGAGGAATTAGTGTTTGTGCTTCCGAGCTGTATTGCAGGGAATGAGCTGTTGGGATCAGGATTTTAAATGTGTTGCCAACATTTGGGCCTCAGAGCAGTTGTGTTTGAGTGTTTTTGCAGCTCTGGTTGGTGCCCTCAGCCCTCTCCCTCCGTGCTGCAGGATCTCCTCAGCCCCACACTGACACTGCCTGCAGTTCCTGTGCTAATTTAATCCACTTTAGCCTTTTGGTCATTCCTATTATTAGACCTATCTGCCATGTCCACAGAACACTTGGGAGCTTTGCCATGGTCTCTGCTCAGCTCTTGGTGGCTTTTTGTAAATCCAGAGCTGAGAAAGGAAGAGTCCCTGGCCTAAACTTTGGTAGCAAAATAATTCACRCTGCTCAGGCATCCTTAAAAGATCTGTAAAGATTCTCCTTGTGCTCCTGCACTGGAGAAGCCTTTTCAAGGAGCAGCTCCTGGTTTTTGCTCAGCCTTTGTGCTGGCCCCAGCTCRTTACTGGAGCTGCTAATTGTGCCCTTGAGGAGCTCTGAGCTGGCTTTGGGCAGGGGCTCTCCCTTCCAAAGCCGTGCTCAGAATTCCTTGTAATGCCKCTTCCCAGAGGCCGAGCTGATGAAGTGTGACCACACTGCTTAAAGCACTCGCCAAATGGCACAAGAAGGGAGCTGGGAAGGAGAATTTGGGAGCTCAGCACAGCCCAGGATGGAGTTGCAGCAGAATGAAGTGAAGAGCAGGACCTGCACTGCCAGACACCAACAGAACCACCCTGACCTGACTGTCCTGCTCTGCCTGTTTCTCCACAGCTGGCATCCAGTGGGATTTTGCAGGCTGAGTTTAATGCAAGAGACTAAACTGTGGTTTGGGGCAGGTACAAAAATCCCYGGAGACAAAGATCAGAGCAGCTGACAGGAGGTGACATAGGAGGGGCTGTTCCCTGAGCCAAGGGAAGGTGGCTCTTCACTGCTTCTTTATTCCGCTCAAACACAGGATTCTGTTCAGATCTCTGAGTGATTGACTCAAGTTAAATTTGGGTGAAATTTTGGAAGAAATGGAGTTGGGAATAACAGGAATAACATCTGTTTTAAACAGACATTTATCTTTGTTTCTTTCTGCAGGGAAATCCAGCTCCTGCGGCGATTACGGCACAAAAACGTCATCCAGCTGGTAGATGTGCTGTACAACGAGGARAAGCAGAAAATATATCCTTTTGCACAGGGCTGTTGATCAGGTTTGAATTCCCTGCTGTAGTTCTGCTTTTGGGAAGGCCCTTTTGRATGTTTCTTAAGCTTAAATTTTTGCAATTAAATTGTTATCACTGATTTTAACCATCCCRCCTGCTGGGGAGACACAAACAAATTCACACAAAACCAATCTAGGCAATTTTATCCTCATTTTGCTGGATTTTGTGTGACTCTGCCATGCWAAAAGAACTTTGCTTGGAACCAGTGTGGAAGTTCCTGGAGCTGATCCCTTGTAGCACGTGTTATAAATGGACGCTTTTATTTTTTTGACAGTGTTTTCTAACTACTGTCTTCTTATTACAGTACTCCAGAAAAGGAGTAATTTAATTGTGTGCGTTAATTAGATCAAACACTCTGCCACSAGATCATTAGGATAAAGCAGTGTGACAACTTCTGCTTGAGCTGTGGCCTCGACAGAGCAGGGGGACTGTGAGTCAATTACTGATAGAGAGAGATCCTGTTTAATTAGGGAGAAAGGGAGGAGGCAGCGTGGGGAAAAAAAGGAGCCCGAGAGAGACATCGTGTGTCGGTACCAGGTGATGACAACCCAAAACCATCACTGGGAAATGGGATCTCTCCAAGGATGTTGCTAAATGGGATCTCTCCAAGGATGTTGCTGAATGGGATCTCTCCAAGGATGTTGCTGAATGGGATCTCTCCAAGGATGTTGCTRAATGGGATCTCTCCAAGGATGTGGCTCCATGCTGGATTTTCTGAGCAGTGCTGATCTAAAGTTGGGTTTCAGTACTTTCCCCTTGCAAGGACAGGTTGACTTTGCTATTTCTGTCTTTCGCTGCTCCAACACTCTGAAAAGTTTGTTCCTCCCTGTGCTGGTTCCGTGTGTGAGTGGCAAAAACTCCAGGAATTTGTTTTCACTGAAACTGGAGCATTTAATTCATCCATGATCTTGTTCAAAGCCTTCCCCAGCTCCTGGCTGGCAGTGCCTGTGGCTGTGCTGTGTGTCCAGGGCTGTGACAGAGCAGATCTTGAGCAGCCACAAGGGGAACAGGTTTGGGAACAGATCCAGCAGGAAAGGGACAGTCTCTCTGAGGCTGCCCTGGGGGTAGGGCCTTTACAGTCATGCACAGGACTCTTGCAGGAAGCAGAGTTGGGGTTTAGGGGATGGTATCAACTTCCCTGTTAGTGATAAAAAGAAAATCCTCATTTGCAGACCAAGCCTTGTGGGATTGGAAATTGGGGCTGTGGAAAGAAGGATTCTCTTCCCACCTGAGTGTTCTGTTGCTGGTGGAAAAGCACTGCAGCCTTGAGCTGTTTGTCACAGAGTCACAGAATTGTTTGGGTTAAAAGGACATTAAAACTCATCCCATTCTGTCCTTTGCCATGGACAGGACACCTTCCACTACCCCAGGTTGCTCCTGGGTAGCTYSTGCCAGAGCCTCACCAYGCTCACAGGGAAGATTTTTTTCCTAATCTCCCATCTAACCCTGCCCTCTGGCAGTGTGAAGCCATTCCCCCTTGTCCAGTCATTATTTGCTCTTGTTAAAAATCCCTCTCTATCYTTCTTGTAGGCTCCCTTCAGGTTAACACAGGGTTTGAGCAACTCATYTAATCAAAGCCTTCAGTGATTTTCTGTGGAAAAGGGAAAGCTCTGGTGACTGGATTAAAAATGTCAACGACTTTTAGTATTTAAGAGGCTGTTTGCTGGCCTGCTGTGGCTGGGAGTGTAGAGCTGGTGGTGAATGGAGAGCTCATCCAGGCAGAAAATGAACCCAGTTHCATGAGCAGCATCCCAGGGATCCCATTACCACTGTGTACAGCTGAGTGTGGGAGCAGAACCCCTGGAGGAGGAGAACTGAGAGCTTGGGGCACCTGTAATAGATCTGCTCCAGCCTGGAAGTCTGTTCTGTAATCTGATTGAAAAACCTGAAGGGGATCAGTGACCAGGGAGGGCTGAGGAGCAGCGTGGCAGTTAATGACACCCATCCAAGCTGTCCTTGAGCCTGTTTGCTGCCCAGGAGCTGGTCTGGATTATCTGCTGTCACTGGTATTCTCCTGATAGTGGGAGAGTTGATGTCTGCCATGAAGTGCTTCACTGATTTCTTGAAGAATAAGGAGGGGTAAAATTAATTTTGGGAGCTCTTTCTTCTGTTCTTTTATTGATTTACCGAGTGTCTTTGAGCCCATCATAAAATCTTTTTTAGGGTATRCTTAGAGTATTTTAGGGTCTCTCTGAAGAGCAGTTTGTGGGGAATAGAGCAGGAATTTAATGAGTTTTCAGTGTTTGGAGCTGTGGAGTGGAACATGCTGGAAAGGGGCAGCASAGTCTTCAGYCCAGATCCCACACAGAGCACAAATSTYCCTTCAKCTTCTCCWGCCTCAGGTGACTTYCTGGGGCAGAAGTGACTTCTTTTGGGCTTAGCTTAAGAAGGCACCTGCCAGGAGGAATAARTGACCATGGTTGGGGTGGCTGGGGAGTCCTGACAGCCTTTTCTCTGTCAGGACAGAGGTGTCCTGATGTCCCAAGGTCTGTCCTCTAGGCCCCTCCAAGCCATACTTTGCCTTCAAAAGCCCAAAGAGAGCAGGAAACAGGCAATTACAGCATCAGGCAGTCTGATTCCCATTTTTTGGCCCCACCATTAAAGCTCACAGAGATAAAAACTGGAATATGCTGCGAGGGAACAAATGCTGCAAAGTGCCACCAGCTCTTGGCATTCTCTTGTAACTGTTTTTATCCATGTGCTTTCAAATGCTTCCCAGCTCTCCAGGGATCCTTTCTCCTGCTGCTGGAATACTCCCATGGAGCTGGGGGTGAGCAGCAGCTGTTCCAGAATGCAAACAGCAGGGTTGTWTGGGACAGGGAATGAGGAATAACCAATTTTGGGGAAGGTGAGGGGAGCTCACCTGGGTGCAAAACACCCAGGGTACTGGGGGAATGTGCTTCAGCTTTTCTTCCAGGGAATTCCCAAACTTTCTGTGCCCACTTCAGGGGATTTGCCTGTTCTCTGTCATACCTGTGAGATCTCCAGTTTATTTTCTGTGCAGTTCCCATCCTGTTCCAGGTCTGGTCACGGAGCCATAGCTGCTCATTTGGCAGAATTATTTTCCTGTAGGTTCTTTCCTGTCCCATGGGAGGTGGAGGAACATCCCTCAGCACCCAGGGAGTGCAGCCATTCCCTCTGAGCAGTTTAACACTGAGGAATGTTTAACCCTGGAGTTTCCTTAACTCTGCCCTCACGTATATGGTGATGGAGTACTGTGTGTGTGGGATGCAGGAAATGCTGGACAGTGTCCCAGAAAAGAGGTTTCCAGTGTTTCAGGCTCACGGGTAAGTTTTGTTCCTCTCCCCACTGTGTTCTCTCGAGTTTTTTTCAGCTCAGGCTGAGTTTGAAAGTAAGCCTGGCTTTGTGCAATAGYTTCATATTTTACACCCATGCAAAAAAAGTGAAAATTCTTGAAGTGGCAGCAGGGATTGCCCTTAGATTCTGGGAAGGAAAATCATCTTTGTATTGATTTTTCTGTTGGTTTTTTTTGCTGCCTGACAGCCCACCCTGATCCCTGTGCTCCTGTTGTGTCGAGGGGTATAAGGGGGGAATCTCCTGCCTAAATGGAGGCCAAGCCACAGTTCAACATCAAAAATGAATTTAAAGGCCTTGGGATGGATTAGGGATTGTCAATATCCAGCAAGATCTGGTAGCTGGGTAGTTAGCTGGGATAAGCCCTTTCACTCTGCAAAAAAAGACACCTGAGAATTCTGGGAATAGATACAAAAATATTGTCAGGATCAAATCAGGGCAGAGCAGCAAATCTGTGGCAACTACATCGTTTTATGGTCATATTTTCATTTTATTTTAAGAGATCTCTGAGGTTGCAGAATGCCTAAGTGAAATTCAGGCACATTAATATTATTTCTGGGTATTACAAGATGAAACACTTGCCTGCACAACCGCCAGKCTGCGTGTGGGTTACGGTGATGGCCCAGAGTTTCTGACCACAGCAAAAAGCTCCTTTCTACTGGCTAAAATTGTTTGATTTTTCCCCTCTGCCTCTCTCTGCAGGTACTTTTGTCAGCTTATAGATGGCTTAGAATACTTGCACAGCCAAGGGATTGTCCACAAGGATATAAAACCGGGGAACCTCCTGCTAACAACCAATGGGACACTAAAAATATCCGATTTAGGCGTAGCAGAGGTATGTGAGAAGGACAGCAAAGTCAGAATGGGACATTCCAGATTGAGGTCACCTCTGTGGTGTCATTGATTTATTGTGCATTTAGGCTTTTGTTCTGTTGCACTTGCAGAGTGCTCTGAGTGATTCTGAATATTTATTGCGATGGGCAAAGCAMTTCTGTTGGTAACAGCGTGAAACCTCCACTCAGGAAGCACAGAAAAGGAAGATGTCAATCTTGGACGGGCCCAAAATTGGGGGGAAATGGGGATAAAGCTACATAACCTTATCCTTCCTTTTATATGGAGACTGTCTTAGGTAGAAGAGGTGCAGGACTTGTCACCATGGCATGTGGCTGCTGTGGTGACATGATCTCATTATCTGTAGATATTCAGTGGAGGAGTTTTTCCCTTTTGTTTCCCAGGTGGAATTTTTCCAGCAGCCCCAGTTTGTTTTCCTTGAAAGTCTGACTCTGTTTGGTCTCTCCTTCTTGCAGGCATTGCATCCATTTGCAGAGGACGACACGTGCAGGACGAGCCAAGGGTCGCCAGCATTCCAGCCCCCAGAAATTGCCAATGGCCTTGACACCTTTTCAGGCTTTAAAGTCGACATCTGGTCCGCKGGGGTGACGCTGTGAGTGCTCAGAAACCCCCAGGAGCTTCCCCATAGATGACACCCTCAGATAGCTCAGTCCTGGCCCAGCTCTGTCATTGCTGCTCTTGAGGGATGGGGGAGCAGAGAGGGGGTGCTGCTCTCTCCTGTGGGTGGGTTTATCCTCTCCAAATTCTGCACAAGGGGATCTTTGCTCTCCCTGAGTGACTCTGCAGCTGTTGCTCAGCCCCCAGAGGCATGCTCAGGGCAGTGACAGAAACCACAAGTATCTCCAGTATTTATTTTAAAGTTTTTGCTGTCCCAGACTGTCAGGGAGATGTCTCGGTGGTTTTGACCCCTGTGAATGAAAAGCTGTGATGAAGGCAGGCTAAGCTTAAAGAAGCTTTCCATATTCTGCCAAATATTCCTCTTTTAGTTTCCTCTTGGCTGCTTTTGGCTTACACAGTCATGTAAGAACTGAGTACCTGTGTGCTGCTTCTCATCCCTCCTCTCTTTCTGCCTCCACAGATACAACATCACAACGGGTCTGTACCCTTTTGAAGGGGATAATATCTATAAATTATTTGAAAACATCGGGAAAGGCGACTACACAATTCCAGAGGATTGTGGTCCTCCACTCTCAGACTTATTGAGAGGTGAGTCTTCCCAGCTGGCTCCAAAAGGGTAACATTTATAGATGCAACAACTGCTCAGCTTGCACAGTGCCAGAGCTTCCTTCCAAGTGTCCTGTGGGGATACAGGATCCTGTTAGACAGGGAGGTTATACTTGCAGCCCTACAAGTTTCTGGCACATCTTCAGCACTGGTATTTTCCTGAGATCCACAGGCCCTCTGCACAGCTCACAGCCACTGTTTTATAGGGTTGGTTCTTTCATTATTTATTGTTCTCTGAGAAGCTTTTGTATTTAAAGACAAAGCCCGCAAGAGGTTGAATTTAAAATGGCATCATAGCATTGATGCAGGTTTGGACAGTGAGAGCACTCAAATGCCTAATCCAGGTTTTCCTGATGTGAAACACTGAGTACTCTGCTGTCCCTCCTCATCAACCTCTGCTCTGGACTTTTCTCARTCCCCTTTGTCTCTTTCCCCCCAAATTCAGAGCTACAGGATACTGGAGCAGTGACAGGTATCCAGTTTCACATCAGGGGATAGGACCACGAGTGGCACACTGGGGGAACGTCGTGATTCTGATTGGTTTTTTTTATTCCCATCATTTATTGAAAAAGTTTGAGGTTTAGTGCTGACCAGTCTCTACCTGTDGAAGCTGAGCACTCAGGCAGGACAGGGCAGCAGCTCTGCTGTGCTGTGAGCCCCTTTGGCAGGAGGTGGGATGCCATTCCAACCTGTGGGAGAGCCTCACCAGCATTCCCAGAATGAACGAACAGCCAGGGTGCAGCTGTGCTCCCCAGCCCTCAGCATGGGCTCCTCCTCTCCTTTCTCTTCAGGTCTTTGTAGGGGATCAGCCCCTAAATGTGGATGTTTGTCTTGTTTCACGTTGGTTTTCCTGGTCCTTGTGCTTTGTGGGGTTGGTGAGGGCATGGGAGGGCATCAAGTCCCTCCCTTCTGGCAGTGTGTCAGCTCTGTGGGACCTGGGCTCTGGGCTCAGTGTGGGGACAGGGGCTCGGTGCAGGGACAGGGGCTTTGGGCTCAGTGTGGGGACAGGGGCTCGGTGCAGGGACAGGGGCTGAGTGTGGGGATGCAGATTCAGTGCAGGGACAGGGTCTCAGTGCAGGGACACAGCTCTGGGCTCAGTGCAGGGACACAGGCTCGGTGCACAGCCCTGGCTCCTGGCTCGGTGCAGGGACACAGCTCCATGCTCGGTGCACAGCCCTGGCTCCTGGCTCGGTGCAGGGACACAGCTCCATGCTCGGTGCACAGCCCTGGCTCCTGGCTCCGTGCAGGACACAGCTCCATGCTCGGTGCAGGGACACAGCTCCATGCTCGGTGCACAGCCCTGGCTCCAGGCTCGGTGCAGGGACACAGCTCCAGGCTTGGTGCAGGGACACAGCTCCGGGCTCGGTGCACAGCCCCGGCTCCATGCTCGGTGCAGGGACATGGGCTCGGTGCACAGCCCCGGCTCCTGGCTCGGTGCAGGGACACAGCTCCATGCTTGATGCAGGGACACAGCTCCAGGCTCAGTGCAGGGCCCTGGCTCAGTGCAGGGACACAGCTCCATGCTCGGTGCAAAGCCCTGGCTCCTGGCTTGGTGCAGGGACATATGCTCGGTGCACAGCCCCAGCTCCATGCTCCATGTAGGGACACAGCTCCATGCTCGGTGCAGGGACACACACAGCTCCGTGCTCGGTGCAGGGACACACACAGCTCCATGCTCGGTGCAGGGACACAGCTCCGGGCTCAGTGCACAGCCCCGGCTCCATGCTCGGTGCAGGGACATGGGCTCAGTGCACAGCCCCGGCTCCAGGCTCGGTGCAGGGACACAGCTCCAGGCTCGGTGCAGGGACACAGCTCCGGGCTCGGTGCAGGGACATGGGCTTGGTGCAGGGACACAGCTCCAGGCTCGGTGCAGGGACATGGGCTCGGTGCAGGGACACAGCTCCTGGCTCGGTGCAGGGACCTGGGCTCGGTGCAGGGACACAGCTCCATGCTCGGTGCACAGCCCTGGCTCCTGGCTCAGTGCAGGGACACGGGCTTGGTGCAGGGACACGGGCTCGGTGCAGGGACACAGCTCCATGCTCGGTGTAGGCACATGGGCTCGGTGCACAGCCCCGGCTCCTGGCTCGGTGCCGGCCGTGCCGGCGGCAGGTGGTGCTGTCAGTCCGAGCTCTTCCGCTGCAGCCGCCGGGGCTCCCCCGGCCCCCCGGCACCAAGGAGCTGCCAGACCCCCGCAGCCCCCCTCGGAGGCTATTTTAGCTTCCCTGGCCCCGTGCCAATGATGAAATCAGTTATTTCCATGTGTTTCCAAAAGCATTAGCCAGSTTTAGCAGCTTTCCGAAGGCGTTACATAAGGCAGCGCTTCCAATGGCGCTCGGCACAGCCGGGATCCGGCTGCTCCACCRAGCCTGACACCACGGCTCTTCACGGCCCAGCACTGCCTGATGTGCTTCACTTTGTACCTGCCAGCCCCAGGAAACAGTGGCCTGAGCTCTGGGTGGCATTTGGCTCGTGGCTGCTGTGTCCAAACATGGCTTTTTAATGAGCTGGGAATTGCCCAAACGGAGCAAATCCTGCAGTCCGGCGTGACTGGCAGCAGCTCTCCTAAAGCATCCAACAGAATTCCTTGGAGGTTTGTGATCAGCCTCTCAGCTGCACTTAGTGCTTCCCCCAGGGAAAAGGAGCGTGGCAGTTTTCTCTTTTCCTGTGCTGAGGATATTGACAGCTTAAAATCTTGTGCTTCATTAGCACCACAACTCTCCTCCTAGTTTTCTTCCCACCCCTGCGTGAGATCTGGAGCCAGAATTTCCTGGTCTTCCCTCTGCCTGATTTTACATGGAGGATTTTACATTGAGCCTGCTGCCTTTTGTCCATTCTCTTACAGCCTGAGTCTCGTCTTGCATCCTCACTGCTCTGTTTGCATCCCTTCTGTCTCACAGAGGTGGGAGTTGAGTGGGTTTGGCAGGGTGAGGAGCTGCCTGGGAGGAGGTGGCTTCACCCTTTTCTTTCAGGGCAGTGGGAAGATCCCTAAGGATCCTTTTTCCTGTCCTCCCTCCCACCTGAGAACAGTCTCCCACTCCTCATCTTACAGCTGCTATACTGTAAAAGCTGGCAAAACCTTTTGATATTCCCCTTGCTTGGTCTGACACACATTTTCCAGTGGTCAGCATGCCAGGTGGATGAATTTTGGGGTTGGATTGCCCCAACTCTTCCCTCTCTGGAGGTCTGAGCAGCTCCCCAGCATCTGCCAAGGCCCAGGGCTGAGCCGTGCAGCGGTGGCACCAGGTAGCTATGGTGACAAACCTGGATGCTTTATTTAGTTCCTGCTTTTCCTCCAGAACATCTGCATTTCCTGGTCGGTGCCTGCTCCTCCTGCAGCAGGCTGGAGCTGAATCCATCGCCTGTGGATCAGATACTGTCAATGGATGTGTTTGTGTGAGCAGCACAGACACCCCCAGCTCAGCTCTGTCGCTCTGGCGGTTTTGTCTCGTCTTTGTGATGCTTTCAAAGGCTCTAAAAGCCCTCTCAGGGCTGTGAGTGCCTGGTCTGGCTTTGAGTGAGGCAGAATTCAGTGCAGCAAAGTGCTCATTTCCTCTGTCTGCCAGGGCTGTGCTGACCACAGGCCCCACAGCCRGGCTGTGAAGCAAACACAAACACACTTTGTAAGGTTTTTCTGTTCGTCTGTTGACTGCTTTTGCAGTGCATCTTCACTTTTTCTTCCCCTTGAGCTTGTTTTTATCTTTGTTCCCCTTTTCCAGAAGGAGCAGAGTTTAGAGGACTTAAAGCTTCAGTGGTATTTGGCTTGTAAAGAGACTCTCATGACAGTATATCCTGCAGATTAGTTGGGATGCTGCTCCTCGTTTTGTCTCCCTAATCAGGGATGAAGCTTTATTTATACTCTTCAGGGATGGAAAGAAGAAGGGCTGGTGCTGTTTTGTGTGTGCAGTCAGGAGAGATGTGTCAGAGTGGAAGWGTTTATAAATAGCCTTAAAGTTCTTCTGGCAGCATCTGCCCRTGGCTTATCAACTCCTGTGCACTTTGCTTCTGGACCAGAAAAATGCACAAGGTCAGCTTTCCTCCTCCTGCTATAATAGACTTTTACTGGAAGAGGAAGCTCTGAGGCTGAGGCTCTGCATTAATCAGCATCTGGATTGATTTCCAGGCCCTGTGACCTGGAGCAGTTTGTTTTCTCACTTTCCTGACCTTTCCTTGCTGGGACAGTGGGAAGATGTGTGTCCTGGTGACAGTGGGGTGCTTTAATTCTGCCGTGGCAGGAGTCTCCCGGGCTGTTCCATGCTCATCCAGAGGCCTGTCCTGGATCACAGGCTCGGGATTTGCCTGCAGAGGGAGTTTGTGGCCGGAACACCGGGCTGAGTGCAGGGAGAGGGAGAAGGTCCTGCCTCGTTTACAGATTGACCTCACACTGCTTTTATAGAGGTTGTTTAAATGTTGATCTGAGTTGGAGACTGAAGTGGAATCCAGGTTAAGTTYGTTAACCTTGCTGTTGGATTTCTTCCTGCTTCTCCATCCCTGTACATGAGACTGTGCTGTGTCCTGAACTCCAGGAATTCTGCCCTGGGACATAGCCAGTCCAGGATCACAGTGTGGGCTGGGGGCTGTGAGGAGCTCAAGGCAGATCTATGGTCTCCAGTGTCTGGATTGTCATTTGATATCATTTGAAGAGGTTTTGAAGCTGTTGATGTGCTGCAGAGGACACAATGCTCCCTGTCTGGGCACGACTGTGTAGTGTTTGTTYTTATCTGTGTAATACCTGACACATCCTCCATGAAAGGACTTTATATTTTACAAATAATTTCCTCATGGAAAGGATTGTCAGGCACTGGAAGGGGCTGCCCAGGGAGGTTTGGAGTCCCCATTCCTGGAAGTGTCCAAGGAACAACTGGACACAACACTCAGCACTCTGGATGACAAATTGGGGATCAGCCACAGGTTGGACTCRGTGATTTTGTGACACCCCTGTACAGGCACAGCAGCGAATCCTCTGGGAATACCGGGGAGCAGAGGTTGGAGCTGGGCCTCCTGAAGCATTCCCTGGCACAATTTGTCCCATCCCTGCTCGCAGATAAACTCCAGGGAAGTCTTTACCCTAAATGGCCGCGAGCGGCGGCTCCTGCGGGCAGACGCTTCGGGATGACTTGCCTGGTGAATAGAACATGATGTTTTGTCTTGCCTGAAGCCTCTCTTCAGTGCAGGACTTGAGCCACGGAGCTGCCACAAGTGACTCAGAGCTGAATGCATGAATGTACATTTTCAGCGAGGACACTTTCCGTTTTCTTTCAAACGTTGCCCCAAATGYGGTCATTTTTCATTGAAGTAAAAATTCCTTTCAGTCGATTATTTTCCTTCTGCCTTTTTAATGGCTTGAGAGCAACAGCTCCCTGTGCCGTGGCTGTAACTGCTGCTCTTGGGCCTCTTTTAATCATTTACTTTAAACTTCTTCCCCTGCTTGTACCGGTTTCATCTGGTGAATGCCTTAAATTTCAAAAACACCTTGAAGTGTGGTCTTTAAATAAATCAATGGGGGGAGTGGGCGGTGTCCTGACTTCCCTGTTTCTGATGACATTAATATGAGAACCCAACCAGTACTTGCTCTTGTCCCCTAAACTTTATGTGAGAGCTCTTAGCAGCCCTATTTCTTTAAAAAAAAAAAAAGCTAACTCATTTGGGCAGTTCAGCTTTGAAACTGGTGTCTGATCATCTTATTAATAGGTTCTTTAATTAGGTGTGGGATTTTTTTTTTTTCCTCTGAACTTATTTCTTTTTCTATAAGGTGAGGAGAAATTCCATCAGAACGTGAGAAAACTCCTTTGCTGCCAGGGTTGAGCTCTGGGACAGGTTGCGTGGGGGGATTGTAGAGTTTCCATCCTCAGAGACATTTAGAAGTCAATCCCAACAATTCAAAACTTTGAGGAATTGGGCTCTGAGGATTTCAGTGCCTCGAGTTCCTGAGCCAGAGGCTGTGACCTGGAGAGCTCTTCCTGGATTGATTTAACCTACTTCATGTGATGTCATGTGGGTCAGTAGTGATCCCATCTGCCTTAAAGCTCTTAGTGCTGTCACCAGCGTGGATAAACCTTCCCAAATTGCCAGGGCAAAGCGTATTTTGGGTTCTGGGGGGAAAATAACTTCAGTCCTTCCCCGCTGTCCTATCCTGTTCCCCCTTTTTGCCCATGTCCTGATGTGATGTGATACAAATGGACTTACAGGGAAGATGTTCTGGGGCAGTTTTTGTGTGCTGTTATGATTTATCTCTTCTGTGACCTTTGAATTGCAGAATCTCACCTGCAAGGCCCTTGCAGCTTCCTTGTTGAACGAGGATATGTCTTTCCAGCCCTATCTCCCTTCTCAAGTATTCCCCACCTCTTTGTTCTCAGTGTCCTTTTGTCCTGGCTGTCCCCAGCACTCTGCACAGTTTRMTCCTCTCCTAACTTTCTGAATTCCYRTTTGMCMKYRAGTGCTGCTTCCCAGACTTTTCTGGCTGCTGGAGATGGGCTCCTCCTGTTCCCACCCCTCTCCAAACCCCTCACTCTTCATGCAGCAAGACTTGGCATTGCAGGTGCTTCAGGATCAACCAGTAAAAGTAAAACTCCTCGTGGTRTTCAGCCATGAGCCATTGTTAATGTTTATTATGTGAATATATCCTGGAACCTTCACTGGAGAATATCTTGGATGCTGCTGGATGAGACTCCCAGGGTTCCACTGGCTCATTTTTGAGGAATATGACAAAATTTGCTCCTTCCCTCCTGTTGAGTTGTGAAGCTTCTGAAAGGCAGTGGAGCAGAGTGGGCATCCCAGGAGGCTGTTTAAGGAATCCACCTCCCTCTCTCCCAGAGAGAATCGGGAGGAGCTGCTTTTCCTCTCCCCACTCTGCTCACCACCCACCCCTACTACCTCACCAGATGATCCCAGAAATCCAAGCCCTGCCAGGGCACAGGGATGGGCAGTGGGATGATTTTTGTGTTGGCTTTTCCCAATTCCACTAGACCAGAGTATCTGGGACACTGAGCAGCTGGACATATGCTGTGCCTGAGGCTTTGGCTCTGCAATGGAGGTGGTTCAATGGATTTATCTATGAAATGCAAAGTCTTGATGTTCTTTGCCTGGAGACTTTCTTGGAGCTGTGATTGAGGGCTGGACAAGGCTCAGTCCCTGCACTGGGAGGGAGGGAAGGGATGTACCCGCTTTGCAGGTGGGAAGCTGAGGAACAGCCTGGATCAGGTCAGCAATGGGATTGGGTTTTTATTCTTCCTGTGACTGATGGAGCAAATCCTGCCTGGAACTGCCAGGACTGGGCACAGCCTCGGGGAGGGAAGGGCAGAGCTTTGTGCTTTCCTGGCTTCCACTCAGCTGACAGTGATCACACCTGGACTTTTTTTTCCTTCTTTTCAGGGATGCTTGAATACGACCCAGCCAAGAGGTTCTCAATACAGCAGATAAGGCAGCACAAGTGAGTGTTACCAATCCTTCTCTCCCTGCTCCTCCTCTACCTGTGCTCCTGCTCTCACCTCCTGTTTCCTTTTGACAGCAGACACATGGAAGTCACTAGATCTCCTTCCTCCAGCTCTGCTGGGGCTCTGGCAACCTCCACTTGGCTTTTTTCCTCCTATTAGAGCATCCGGTGAAGCACTGGAATTGCTAACCAGTAAACAAGGAATATGTTGGAAGTCTGTTCATGGCGTGCCTGCTTCTGGATAATTAAGGGTTCTGGATAATTTTTTCCAGAGGCCAGCAAGTCCTAATGGAGCAGAACAGGAGGTCCTGAAGGCTGTGTTATTGAAGGAAGGCTGTTCAGTAACGTGTGTTAGTTCTGGCCAGTCTGGGGACAGAAATATCCCCTGCTATTTGCTCCATATGGAGTCAGTATGTGGAAAAGCGTTCCAGGACAATAAGATTTTTTTTTTTTTCCTTTCTCTTTAATATCTCAGTCCTCCCTCCCCCATATCCTCCYCCATTTTCCATGCCATAGTCAGGGGGGGAAATGCCCCGTTATCGCTGAGGGGTTTTTTTTTTTAAAAAAAGATCTGTTTGAACACGCTGGCTCCGAGCAGAGATTTCCTGGGCGGATAAAAGTACAAGAACAAAAAGCATCATGAGGCTGCTTCACTGCGGAGGCTGCATTAGCTTATCTCCTCTTGGAATGGGAAGTGCTTCTGAGGACAGGCAGAGCTGCCTCTGGACTGCAGCTGCTCGGCCTGTGAGCCTGCCCAGATCCTTGTGGGAGCTGTGTAAAAGCAAGGATGTGATTCAGGGTGGTGCTGAGCCCACTCCATGCTGCAGGAACAGCGCTGCTTTCCCCTTGTGTCCTTGGGAAAGCCGTGTGCTGTCGGGTGATGGTCCCTGGGAGGTGCTCAAGGAGCCACAGCCAGAATCTGAAAGATCTGAGATGCACTGAGGCTCTGCAGGGAGCGACTGGGAGCAGCTCTGACAGATACTGGAGGGACTCTGGGGGTGCAGGCAGGGCTGGGCAGGGTTTATGGAGCTGCCCAGGCAATTAATGAAATGTCAGGCTGACTCTTTAGTAGTAGCCAAGCCCCGTGCCTGGGTTGTTTCAGGCACTCTGGGCACTGATGGGTGCAGGCATTTGCTGTTTGAGGCTCCCTTTCCCTGCACGTTCCTCCCAATGGCTATGAGCAGAGGGGGTCAGTTTGCCATGCTTTGTCAGGAAGCACTGGAAAGAAGCAGGAATTAAGTCTGTGGAGTCATCAGTGTTGAGAAAAACCCTAAAAGCACTATCCTTCCTGCCATGGCAGAGGCTGCCCCTAAGCTCGGGCACTGCCCTGACCCTCATGGGTCACTGCCAGGTGATTGAGCTGGTTCCCCAACTCCAGATGCTCCATTTTGCMCTCCTCCCACATGGCAGGGAGTTTTTGTGTCAGCGTTGCCCAGCTGGAAGCACAGAGGGSTCTCCAGAGACCCTGCCTGTAGTTAGAAACCCAGAGAAACTGGAGCACGCCTCTGGCACGGGGCATCCACAGCACTCCTCAGCTGCTGTGCCGAGGCTTTTCATCCCAAAGCACCAACAGAGGCTAAGGAAAGGCTCTACCTGCAAACCCAGGAGCATTTCCAAGGCTTAGGCTCTTATTAGTTTTGTGTGAGCTTAGCCAGTGCTTCTTAACAGGCTTTTCTCCCCTATTAGTAATTGCCTCCTTCCTCCTGCTGTGGCATCTCGTAATTACATCAAGCACAGCAGAGCTCACAGCCTGGGCCTTGGATGTGTCTGTCCAGCTTCTTTTTGTGCTAAAGAATCCAGAGCTCGGTTCTCCTGCCTTTTCTTTAAATAGAACTTAGCCCTGATGCTTAACCTGACCCTGTTTTTGTATTTTTTTTTTTTTTTTTGTAAATGGAACACAGCAGGCAGCCATTCAGGTATTTGCAGAGGGGTTTGGGAAAGTATTTTGTTATGGAGAGGTTTGATTTCTAGAATCCGTAGATTTCATGTGTTGGGGGAGTAAGTCATTAATGATTGTGGGTTTCTCTACTCTCCTCCCCTCAAAAGCATGTGCTAAGGACAGGAACTAAACCAGAGAAACATCAAGCAGCTTCCCCAGGCTGCCCTGCTGGGACAGATCCCAGCTCAAACCAGAATCACCCCGTGCCTTTCCGTGCTGCTGGAAGTCTCCTTTTATGTCTTTGAGCTGCTGTTCCYGGGGACTCACTCATATGGACAGTCAGGATCATCAAAGTGCTCTGAAATCAGCAGGAGCAGCCCCTGGTTGTGCAGGGGTTTTACCCTGAGGCTGCTGGACCAGGATCCATCAGGGAGGAATTTTTTTTGGGGCTGTGTCCCCCGGTCCTGTGGGAAGGGTGATCCCAAGGGAAGCGTAACAGAATGGGGTGCTGAGGACCCATCCTTCCTCACTTTACCTTCCTTAAAGAGTGAAGGCTCTTGCAGTTGGATCAGGGATAAAATCAGTGGCTYGGGGGCACTGAGAAAGCAGCGAGGGAGTGCAGAGTGCTCCTCCCTGGGGAGCAGAGCTGCAGGAGGCAYGGAAGGCATCCAGGCAGCCCAGCAATGGTAATCCAACCATTCCTTCCATTATTCCTGTCAGCTACTCCAAATGCTTTCCCTCCTGCAGCAGCAGAGGAATGCTGGAGGAAGAGTCTGCTGAGTTTCATCCCTGCCAGCTGCCTTCCTCTGTCTTCACTGCTGCAGCTGAACTGCATCAAACTCCTTTTGCACTTTTCCTGGAGCAGGACAAAGCAACATGCTGTTCTTGTTCAATCCAGACCTGGAGTTGGAAATGGAAATGAGTTAAACCTCTTTCAGCCTGTCATCTCAGAGCTTAGGAACTGCCAGAAGCTGACCCTTKAATAGCAAGGGAAGATCCTGGAAACCTGCTTTCCCTGGAAGGAGCTGAGTGGGATGATGTTCAGTGGAAAAGCAGCACTCACAGCTCAACTCTGTGAATAKTTGGTGCTCCTGGGATGGGGACTTTAGGGCAGGGAGGAAAAGCTGTGGAGAAAAGCAAARACTTCCAACCTGCTCCCTATGGATTATCCACCACCTCCCCTCTGCCCYGTGCTTTCGCTGAAGGGCTTCCTGCTCACACACTGCATTTTGTTACTAATTCACTGACCTGCTGCAGCACTTAAAGTGATGAAGTGGATGCAGAATTCTACCTCTGTCCCTTGTTTCCAAGGCAACCATCTTCCCTTCCCTCTCCACAAGTGTCACACTTAATTTGTTCAGGCGCAGATCCGATTGCAGGAGTTCGTAGCACGAGAGGGGAGGCACTTCCACCTTTTATTAGTGGAGGTGCAAATTAATCTGCAGGGCTGGGGTCTCCTCCTGCCCTCCCAGAGCTGCTCTGCTGCCTTCCCCAGCACCTCTGAGGTTTGGAACGTGGCTCTGGAATGTTGTGCTGTTCAAACCTGGGTGCCAGACCCATTGGAAATCTGTGTGTGGTGCTGCTGAGGGCTCCTTTGCAGGGATTTTGCTGCTGGATTTCCTATGTTTGAGAGAGGGAGRGGGGTTTCTCTGAGCCTCTGCTGCTGCCTGTGCACTTTAGTACTTTCCTCATCCCTTTTCCATCGTGTCAGGCAGCGATCTTCCCTCATCAGGACACAAAAAGCTTCTCCTTTCCTTCCTGAGGCACCTGGCTCAGTCTTTCTGCCCTCTGGCAGCACATGGAAGGGATTTCTCCTTCTTTTACCCACATTCTGCAAATCAGTTTTGTAACATGGGGAGTTAAAAGATTCCTTGTAGGAATCTGAGCCACCACTTTGGTCTCACCCAACAGCTGAGGGAAACTGCTGTTTCCATACTTTTATTTTTTTTCTGAACCTGACTGAAGAGCTGGGACATCTCTTGGTCCAACAAGAGCGATGATTGCAGGGACACTGCTGGCGTGTGTTGCCTTTCCCTGGGACATTGTGTGCCTTCCACGATTGCCTGTGAGGGAGCTGAGCTAAACTGGAACCCTTTTAGCTGCTGCTTGTGGTGACAGTGACCTTCCAGGGAGCTCGAGGCCCTTACATGGCATCACAGGAGGTGGAGAWTCGCTCGTCCTGACCCTGCCTGGCAGGGCAGGRATCTGCAGCTTGGCATTTGCTCTCAGAGCAAACCATCCCCGGTGCAAAGCAAGCCAACTGCAACGTTTGTGACCCAAATGGGAAGTGAATAGCTGGGAGTGTTGGAAAGCTRCAGCTGTGCTTACAAGATTCTTATTTTAACCTTGCTTATACCAGGACTTGAAAAGAGCAGAGGGAGGACTTGTGATGGGAGATCTGAGCTTGAGAGCTGCAAACCAGACGAGCTCATTAAGCACTGGGCAACCCAGATTCCTCTTTTCCTTCAGTCCTTGACCCTTGCTGTCTTATCTCCCTGTGGCTGACTGCAGCCGTCTGGGCACCACTTCTGCCTGGCAGGATCACAATTAACACTTGTGCTGCTGCTGCCTGGGGCTTCAATGAGCTTGTGGAATAGGAAGGAATAATCCCTTACTACTGCTGCCTTCACTCTGAAGGGTTTCTAAGCCACTCCCAGCCCTTTGAAACAGAGAGCAGAGAGGAATCTGCCTCTTGCAGGGGATGTTTTGCACAAGGGACGCTTCTGAGATATCAAAAATATTTGGTTCCCCCTCAGGGTTAAAGGAGCCACCACAAGCACCAGGTAACTGTGTGTGTGCCAGTACATTTGGCTCAGAGAACATCCCTAAAACTGGGAATTACTGGTGGAACAGGACACTGATTATCAGTGCTCCATGTTTTGGGTGGTGGCGAGGTCAGGGTGAGGAAGGGCTTTATCCCATGGCCATTGCTGACCAGGAGSTGCTGCTTTCTGGCTCAGGCAGTGGCTTCTTGAGGCAGATGAGGGCGTTCCTGGAGCCCAGTGGTCCTCAGCTGAAGAGCAAATCTTCACTGACAACCTCCAGCACCAGCACAGAAAGCGGAATGTCTGTCCCTGCTGGAAAATCCTTGCCAGGAATTACTCCACTACTCCATGCAGAATTGCTGGAGGCTCCTTCCAAGAGGTCTTTGATTTTTCTTAGAACTTCAATGGATTTCTCTTCTCACTCTCTATCCTCATTTCCATATATGCATATGCAAGTGTTTGAAATCACCTCCCGGAGGATGGAAGCATAATGACTGGAGTACAGTGATTCAGGTTTCTGCTGCTAATAAAAACCTATTTTTACTCTCCTGGTAAGTAGGACAGGAGGGAAGAGTGAGGCAGAGCTGAAATACAGCAAAATAAAAACACCAGTTGCTGTAGACTTCCAGGCTTTTTTCCCCTGAAAAATCTCCTTTTAACAGCAATCACTCTGATCTCATTTGTCCTGGATATTCCCTTCTCATGAGGTCTCTGCTGTTGAGTTTGGATCCCTCAAGCCCCAGTGCCTCTGGCAAAACCGGCTGGTGGCTCCTCTGCCCCTGTGCTGCTGATCCTGCCAGTCCAGATCAGCCCAGGATTTGCTCTCTTGGCAGTCTTTTCCTCGATGAAGGCGCTCTCTGAGGAAGGGAAATGGATTGATCCGATTAGAGGAGCCGTGTGCCACGCACGTCACCAAGGAAGCCATCCATGGGATCTGTGAAAAGTCACTTGGCATTAAATGATGCTGGTTCTGCTCCCTTCCTRCTGCTCCAGCAGCTGGGATGGGCTTTGCTTAACTCCCAGAGCCAGAGGTGACACATCCAGCTGAGATCTGCAGCAGTTCCTGTCCCTCTCCCCCAAAAAACACCCTTCTCCCTGCAGACAAGGGGCTGCCCGACTCTAAAACTCAATTGCTGCAGAGAAAACAGTTTAAAGATGCTGATGGTGAAGCAGTTTCTGGATGAGAGTTCACCCCTCCCTTGAATCCTGCCTGATTTGTCCCAGTAGCTGCATTTCCATTTGTTTATCTCCTCACTCCTCGCTTTTTCCTGATAGTTTTGTTAGAATCCCACTTTTTTTTTAGGCCGGCTGTCAAAGCAGTGTAAGGCTAGAACAAAATGATAATTACAGCTCTGCGCAGGAGGTGCCTTCAGCCTTCCTTCCTGAAAGGAATTTGGAACTGGGGTGATAAAAAGCAGATGGCTCAGGTTGGTGAGAGCTCATGGGCTGGCTCAGGCCCTCCTCCGTGGTTGGAGGCCAGGAGTTATTGGATGCCAACTTCAGGGTGGGATGCTCTTGTGTCCCATCAGGCTCATGTGGGCTGGAAAGGTGTGTTAGAGGTACCTGGCTCTGGAGGAACTCTGCTCCCCCAACATTTAGGGGGTCACTGGGAGTGTGGAGCCTCCACCAGCACTTCCAGGAAACTTTGGGTGCCCACATTTCAGCACTGGGAGATGTCCCAGACAGTCTGGAGTCAGAGYTCTGCTATGGGAGTACATGAAAACCTAAGAGGTTTATCCCAYCTGGCTGTGGGATGCCGCTGGGAAGCAGCCTGCTGGATTCCTGATCTGATTAAGAACAGCTTTCGGATCCGATATCCTTTCCTGGCCAGATGGCAGCACGGGGTTTGGTGGTGATAGGAGTCCCTTGAGACTGAGAGGGGATAAAAAGATAAAGTAGAAGCTGTGGCCTTGGTGCAAACTGGCTTTTAGAGGAAACTGCTGCAGTAACTGCCCCTCTCCTCAGGCTGGAATTYTGCAAACTTGTGTTTCTGTCAGGCTGGATCAGCCTCAGCTTCAGGATAGGAGAAACTTCTTCAATCCTGCTTGTTTGGATAATAAAACTCAGGAGCTCTGGCAGCTCTGCTGATGTKTTTTGACTYTCAGGTAGTTTGGGCTGGAGWTGGTGATGGGGAGAATATTCCTGAGGCCCTGAGCTGCCCTYTGTGCCTGTCCCTCTGTTCTGTCCTGTTCCCACTGTATCCTCCAGCACACTCTGACACTTGGCCAGACCTTTGTCTTCCTCCTGCTCTGCCACGGGTGGAGCTCCCAGCTCAAAATATCAGGTTGGGCTGGGGCCATCTCAGCGTGGAGGCCTCCTGCATGCCTTGTGCACTGACCCAGCTCTGCCCTCGGGCTTTTTGCAGCTGGTTTAGGAAGAAACACGCTCAGGCAGAGGCGCTGGTGCCCATCCCTCCCAGCCCCGAGACAAAGGACAGGTGGAGGAGCATGACGGCGGTGCCTTACCTGGAAGATCTGCATGGCTACAATGAGGAAGAGGAYGATGACTTGTATGACATTGAAGATGATATCATCTACACTCAGGACTTCACAGTACCAGGTAGGGGAGAAGTGGTTGGGGTAGGGTTTTTTTTTTTGTCTGTTTAAAGCTTTTTAGGAAAGGCCTCCAGGTCTGAATAATCCTTTCAGCAAGGTTGGTTTTGGAATTGTATGAGTGAGCCATGATGCTCCAGATTTCCTCAGTCCTTGATTTGATCAACCAGGATGCCCCTCTCAGCATTACCTCTGTGCCAACTTCCTCCCTTTCTGCCAGGAACAGCTGCTGCTGGACTTTGCTGTTCTGCACAGTTCATTCTTTGGAATGAACTAGAATGAGTTTTTATTTGGGAGCAGAGCCCTGAAATGACTCAGCCTTCAGCGTCCATGACACATCTGGGGGATCCCCTGCATGCTGGCCCATGGCAGTGCTCCCCAGCTGAGCAGGGTGAACCCCAAACAGGCAGGTCTGAGGCTGGGGATCCCCTCCAGAGCAGCAATTTCACCCTCCTCATGCAAACAGCAGCATTTAAACCCAAATCAGAGGTGTCATGGCAGATGACAGGCAGATTACTGGAAGATCTTCCATGTTCTCTGTGTAGTTTTTGCTGTTTGTGAGGGATTGGAGACCTAAAGGCTGAGAGGGGCTGGTGAGGAGGGATGTGCAGGGTTTGTGGTGGGCAGGAATCCCCTCAGCACTGAGAACACACTCGTGGGAGGAGCAGCATGAGGAGGGTCCCAACTCAGACCCTCAGTGGGTTTTGTGAGGCATTGCAGAGGTGGGAGCAGCTGCAGAGGGAATAAATGTGAGTTTTTCCACCCAAGTCTTCATGCAGCATCCCTTTGAACCTGCTCAGTGTTACATTTCTAACAGTGATCCCATATTAAAATATAAATTAAAAGCCCCCYTGTACATGGGGGATCAGTGCAGCCRTGGCTCTGCTGGGCAGCCAGAGCAGGAGTTTGTGTGACTCATAGCTGGGGGTGGGTGTTGGGTTTGGGGCAGGGGGAGGAAGAGGAAACCTCATTAAATCCTGTGTTCTTCAGAGGAAGAAGAGGCTTTGAGGAAGTGCTTTCATTTTTAAAGGGTTATTTAAAGATTTATGCAGCTCTGTGGGGAGATGTAAATGTTCTAAGGCCCTGGTTCAATCGGTGTTAAACATCCCATCCGAGGGAAGGATGGAGGAGAGGATGGAGGAGAGGATGGCTGTGGCCTGGAGGCAGAATCCTCTCCCCACTCTGTGCAGTGGAGATGTGAGCACTSGTCCTGCTCGGTTCTTTTGTGCTGCCTCAGGTCTGGAGGCCGAGCTCTGCTTTTTCCTGTCCTACATTAACCCCTTCTCTGCTGCAGCCCCATCCTGCAGCGCCTGCTCCTGGGTTTTTCAGTCTGAGGCTGGAAAATACAGCCAGGACTGGAGCTTCTGGTGCTCAGGAAGATGCATTTCTGGCTGCTCGTGGTGCCTGTGTGCTCAGTCTGACAAACAGCCATTCAAAACCTCTCTGCCGTGTTGTTTTGAAACCTTTTTTGGTGCCTGAATGAGCTGGATGCGGAGCCATTAAGAATGTGAGGGGTGGCAGAGATGAGCAGGGATGAGCAGCCACGTTCCTGGTTCCTCTCTCAGCCCTCCCTTTATTTATTTTAAATTTAGCCCTGCTCGTGGTGAGGGTGAGGTGGGCAGGAGCTGCTCGGGCAGACGCAGCGCTGGGTCAGCGGTTCCGCGGGGGCAGCAGTTGCCAAGACTTCAGCCCATGCTGAATTTTTATTTTCATTAATTTGAACGTCAGCAACTGTCATTGGTGAAGGAGGTAAAATTAGCTCACGATTCACCTCCCTCCTTGGTATCCATAATAGACTCCCGGGACTGTGCTTTTGAAGCAKGGAAGGAGGGGAGGAGGGAAGAGTCACACAAAAGACAAATGAGCTGTTTGGATAGATTCTTTTTTCCCTCCCCAGTCAGAAATGTTAATTGATTTGGCCCGAGTTCAGCTGAGGGAGGGGAAGGAGAAGTGTTCAGCTTTGCTCTGAATGGGGTTGTTTGAGGCTCTGCAGTCGTGCTGGTGGGATGGAGGGATGGGAGGAAAAAACCTGGAGCTCTGGGGGTGCTGCAGCCAGGCTGGGCTGAGCTGGGGCTGCAGCCTGACCCCTGCCAGCCCCTGAGGGGCACATCCCTGGGGATTCTGGGGTGCTGTGTCCCCCTCCAGAGGGSTCAGGCACTGGTGGGATCCATGGCAGGGCCATGAGCTTTGTGCTCCTGAGCCTCCCGCTGTGCCAGGCACTGCCACATGCCCAGGGCACCCCCTCTGTCCCCTGGGGGGACCAGAGCACCCCCACCYTTGTGTGTCTGGGGTGCTGTGGGGTGCCAGGCTGGACACTGCGGGTGCCACTGGCTCTATCAGTGCCAGGGTTGGGTGCCCAGAGCCAGGAGCTGTTCCTCACCAGTCAGTCCCTGTCCTTTCCATGGCAGGGGGAGGAAGAGGAGGAAGGTAAGCGGCCACAAACCAGTGACTGGGAGCTGTGGCAACATTCCYATCAGGAGGGATGCAGGGGGAGATCCAAAAGGAATCAACTGCACATGTAACCCAGGATACATCCCTCCATCCCTCCATCCCTCCCTCCCCATCTCTGGCAAACCCACAGCAGTGCCAGAGGGGATGTGAGCAAGCACAGGGCTCCAAAGTGGGACCCCACTGTGCTCCCCCAGAGGAGAAGCAGCTCTCCCACCCACCACCCCTGCGTGTCCCCCCCAGCTCCCAGCAGTGGGGTGACCGTTGGCGCAAGCGGAGCTGACGTCCCGCCCGGCCTTGGCGGAGAAAGGATTGAGCATCCTTTAAAGAAAATTATACATAATCGTCTTACAGCCTTTGCTTCCACTCAAAGCTCTGAGTCATAACTGAAGGGCCCTGGAGCGTGACGTTCCTGCTGGAAGGAAATTGCCTCGGCTGGATCCGGTGGGGGGAGCCTGACAAAGCCTCTCCTGAGCCCTGCGTTGGGCCGGGGGCTGCGCCGTGTTCCCGACGGGGCCACCCCACAGTGGCTCTGCAGCCACATCCCTCCGCCACTCCCTGGGTGCAGGGATGTGACCCAAGCTCCGGAGATGCCTCTGGAAATGGCTTTTCACCTGCTCTGCTGAGTCACAGGGAGCTGAGGAGGGAGAGGGGCTGATGGCACCCATGGGGTGTCCCCTCAGGGGACAGTGACACATCTGAGCCATCTTGGCCCTGCCAGGAGGGGCTGCACTGCCCTGTTCAGCAAACACACCCAGCCCCTGGGTAGCCCAAAGTTCATTCCTGGGGCTGGGACCTGCATTCCCTCCTCCAGAGAAAGCAGGAGGAGAAGAAGAAACCAGGCTGCTGCCTGAAGGCTTGGGGAGTCAGGGAGGAGGGGACACAGCATCCTCACCATCTGCACCAGCCATGCCCAGGTCTGGGGGAACAGGGGTCAAACCAGTCCTCAGGAGAGCAGAGAGGGAGGTGCACTGTCCAGCTCTCAGCCTTGCACATCCAGGAGATAGCTCGGGATCCCCCCTGAGCTCCTCGAAGGCACAGGAACACGTTCAGCTTCCCTGCAGGAGCAGGATCCATCCCGGGCGCTGGGAAGGGGATGATTTTAGAGGAGCTGCTGTCACCCCCTCACCATGACCGTTCCCTTGCAGGACAGGTGCCTGAGGAGGAGGCCGGGCAGAACGGGCAGAGCCGCGGCAAGGGGCTGCCCAARGCCGTGTGCATGAACGGGACGGAGCCGGGGCAGCTGAGCACCAGGGCCAAGGGCGAGCGCCGGGCCAGCGCCTCCTCCAACCCCTCCCGCAAGGCCTGCTCCGCCAGCAGCAAGATCCGCAAGCTCTCCACCTGCAAGCAGCAGTGAGCTCTGCCCAGGTACTGCYGGGGCACCTTTGAGGGCTGCCCAAGGGATGGGGGGACATCTGAACCTGCCCCAGCCATGGGTAACGGGAGGGAGGTGAGGGGTGTTTTGTGGTCTGGGTGCTGAGCATCCCTCTGCAGGGTTGTTTTGTGGTGCTGGGGTGCAGAGCCATGCCCTGTCCTGTCCCCCTGGCTCTGCTCTGTTCTCCCCTTGCAAGGTGCTGCTCTGCCCTGTGAGGCTGTGTCATGACAGCCCCTGCTTCACTCCCAGCCCCGCCACCCTCCAGATTTGGGGAGCACAGAGCATCAGGGCTGCAGTGGGACACTGAGCACCGGGATGTCCCCAGAGAAGCCCCCATGGGACCTTCCCGTGTCACCCGTGGTCACTGCCATGCTCAAGCCCCTGCCCCTTCCAGGGAAAGTTGAGCCCAATCCCTGCTTTTTCCCCCCCTCCTTCCGGCTCCTTCCTCCCCAGCTCCAAGCCCTGTCCCCTCCTTCCCACCCCTCATTCATAACGGAGCCAGCAGTGACTCATGTTCAGCCTCATCCGCCCCCGGCCTCATGCTCGTCACGGCGCTGCTGGGGCTGAGCTCTGTTATCTCCTGGATCACGACCAGCTTTGTGGTGTGAAAAAAAGCCCGAAATAAAAGCCGGATCCTCCCCCTGCAGCTGTCAGAGGCCCGTGGCAGCTCCATCTTTAATTCATGGGGGCAGTGAGTCACCTGCGGGGGGTCGGTGAGGATGGAGCCTGGGATGGGGCTCCCCGGGACCTGCTGCTCCTGCTGCCCCTTCCCGCTGGGCTGCTGCTGGAAGGGGAAGGTCCCCGCGGGCTGCCCGAGCCTGGCTGGGTCACTCCCCCCCTCCCCCTTAGCCTAGAAACCTTCGGAAGCCAGGGAATGCTCCCTCCTCGGCATAAATGACATTCCTTGGTGACGTTTTCTCCTTTGGGTAGGTCTGGGCTCGCCTGGCTGTGCTGTGCGAGTCCCCAAAACCTTCCAGGGACAGCGCAGGGACCCCAGACCCCTCGCTCCCATCCCAGAGGAAGCTCCGGTGCAGAGTGTGACCTGTCCACAGTCGGGAGCAGAGCCAGCACCCCAAACTGGGCWCCCCCTGCCCTCCCTAACCCCATTCTCTCTATTCTCCCCACAGCATCCCCGGGCCCGGGCCAGCCTGCGTCCCCCTTCTCACCCCAGCTCTGCCTCTCTCCTGGGACTGGACTGTGCTTGCAATCCAAAAGGAAACCAGAGGAAACCAACCAAGGAGCCCCCCTTCCCTCCCCGCGCCCTCCCGCTCCGGCCAGCGCCAGGACACGAAGCTGCAGTGGCCGGACCTCCCCCGCCGGACACCTGGAAGTTGAACTCTGCGGCTGCCAGGACGCTGTCCCCCTCCCCTCCCCCAATCACTCTTTGCCAATCAAGACACTGATTCTGTTTTTAATTTTGCGATGGGAAGGGTGGGATGAGGGGTCGGGGGGGGTGGGACCCTCCCCCTCCCCCCTGCCGGGCCCCCCCCCGGCCGTGTAGAGTCGTGCAAAGCCATTGCCGTGCACTTTATGTTTTAGACTACTGTTATATATTATATATTTTCCTCTTTTTTTTTTTTTTTTTTTTTTTTTATTTTTGCGGTATATTTAGAGATTCCTACACATCGTGATGTGTTGAAATAAACCAGATGAGGAAAAAAAAAACCAACAAAACAGGTATTAAGACACAGCAGAACTCTATTACACCTGCATGCTGCACGGGGGCTCGGAGGGGCTCGGAAGGGAACAGGGCCCAGGAAGGGCTCAGAGCTTGGGAGGAATCTGGGCTCAGAAGGGATCGGGGTGCTGGCAGCCACTTGGCTTTTTTCCTGCCTTTTTTTTTTTTT